GGTTTTTTTTCTCTCTTAAATCCCAACGGAACACCTTTCAAGCAATATGGCAAAATAACCTAAGAATGACAAAGAAAGGGTTAATAAGGGCAGGTTCTTTCAGCCTCCGTCCTGTAAAATCATACTCTGGATTTCATTTTCCGTATAGGTTGTGCTATTTATGTCTGCGCTGTGTGTTGTGAGGTATACCTCATTTATTCACTGTCTCTGTGTTCCCAGGCTAGAAAGTCAGTGAAAATGATTTAAACGAATGGTGGCAGGCCAGCAGCCACCCCCTCATGCCACAGTCTTCAATAACTCAGACTACACAAATCACTATAAGGTTATGGAAATAAGATCAGTGAAAAAAAATGCTTCCCTCACCTCTGTATTTTCCATGTGTCCCCATCATCACTGGACCCAGTTTGAACATGACTGCTGTAGAATAGCTTTGGCTGCACAGGAAGTTACTACCAGACCTTGTTCTGACTGGAAGGACATTTAAGACATTTGTCTGTAATGCCTGCAGTGAAAGCACATCGGTCTGGAGGGACTGTTTGGTCTCTATTCTCTAAGGCTTGTTATGGCTTTGGGACTAGTGATACCTGCTTCCCACATCATTAGTCACTCACTCACTCACTCACTCACTCACTCACTCACTCACTCACCAGGTATTTATTGAGCATGAATAGCACGTCCTATCAGGTTCTGCTTAATAAAATGGTGTATAAAACATACATGGTTCCTATTTATAGTCCAGGGGGAGAGACAAATAGTAAATATGGAAACAAAATAAATGAATAATTGCCAACTGGGTTAAGAGCAAAGGTGGAATTAAAGGGGGTGCTGTTAAAGAGAATAGCAGAAGTACCGCCATTTTGGCGGGATGATCAAGGAAGATCTCTCTTAGAAGATAACAATTACAGAGACTTAGGAAGAGGAGTAAGCTATGTGAAGAGTGAGGAAAAGGGTATTTTTGTCTGGAGGTGGAGTGAGTGTGAGGGGCCTGGGCAGGGAGCTGGGCACATTCCAGCACCAAAAGGAGCTCAGATTGGAGCCTCTGAGCCAGGAGCAGCGTGCAGGTGGGGACGGAGAGGGAGGCGGGAGCCTGGGCATGCTGTCCCTGCAAGGTCAGGCAGGGAGTTGGACTGAATTGTGAGTATAGTGGTAGCCGCTGCAGAAAATGACAGGATCCAATTATGTGTTAACAAGAATCACTTTGGTTGCTGGGTAGAGAAGAGATTGGACAGGGACAAGAGGGGGAGAAGGGAGATCAATTTGAAGGTTACTTAGAGTAGTTGAGTCTATGGATGATGGTGACCTGGTCTAAGGTGGGGAGGTGGAGACAGCCAGCCATATTAAGATCTAACTGATAAACATGATTGGAGTAGGGTCGAAAATTAACCACTAAAATGTGCAAGATATATGTATATATATTATACATATAATTTAATATGCATTTAATATGTATTTATATATGTATCATATATGTATATATAAGTATACATACCTATATATCTATGTATATCTATCTCTATATCTATATCTATCTATAATTTTCTGTAGTTGATTTTCCTAAAAAGCTCTGACCTCTGTATTGGGGCAGGGTAGGGGGCAATGTAAATTTTCCAATTCAATTTTGGGTTAAATATCCCTTCATGTAACTTGATTTATTTTGGGTTAATGTTTAGTTTTTGGTTTTTGCCCCCATATTTCCTTCCCTTCCCCCACTATTCCAGATGGCCTCTAGATGTATGGTATATGTGCAGGGGTGGAGGCAGTGGGGTTTATGAGTCCTCACCACAGGTTCCTGTGCAGTTCTTTGGGCCTCCCTGGCTTCTGCTGTGGGGAGGTCTGGCCCTTGGGTCCCTTGTTTGATACGCTGTATTGATAGGAGACGCCTGAACTTGTGCTTTGTATTCTTGTCTCAGTCAGGACCTCCTGGGCCTCCCTGGTTGGCTCAGCCTCACCTCAGGTCTCATCCAGGTCCTGTGTTTGTCACACCTCTGTGTTAGGGCTGCCCTGCCTTCCCCATCATGGCATGTGCAAACCTCTGAGTCCCTGACCCACCACAGAGGGGCCATGGGGAGCCTGGGGATGTAACTCCGTCCTCTTGCTGCTTCCTCAGACGAGGGGGCATTTTTACTCTGATGCAGCCACCCCGTGTATGTGGAGGTTACCCTGCCAGGTCCCTGAGTCTCCCCAACCCCACCCCTGGATCTTGGTTTGCGTCGGGGAGCTAAGTCAATGTAAGTCCAACTGCCTGCTTCCCCTTTGTCTGTCTCCTCTTTCTCATACTCCACTGGGATGGAAGGAGAGGAGTTTTTACTTCTCTTTCTACCTGTTGAGAATTCACCTTTTATCATGTTCCTGTCTTCCACAGGACAGCAGGCTTTATGGCCCAGCTGACATTTGCATCCTTTTCCACACTATGGAAGACATAAGATCTGCATCTACTAGGCTGGCTCTTGATGCCATAGGACTATTAAAAACTAAGGTTTCTCGAGGTTGAGAATACATTGGCTTTCTTCTCCAAAATATAGTCCTGTTACCCTTGGTGTTTGTAGACATAGCCAAAGTTGTCGGCACAAGCATTACTGGGACCATAACTTGGTTTATAAGCTAAAATTGTTCTCTTCTGTTTATGGGGTATCTAAACGCCTAAGATGGGGACCAAAGGCTTTCCATGTAGGGGCCTCAGGCCAGCCCCTCTCGCCTCCTCTCTTCCTCCTGTTCCCCTACCCTGAGCTTTGGTCAAACTGGACTCCTCCAGCTTTCTTGAATATGCTTCATTCTTTCCCACTTTGATGTCTGGCTTACATAGGCCTTTTCTTATGAAACGCTTCCCTTGTTCCTTCCTCCCCTTCTTGCATTTTTTCATTAGAAACCCTCACGTCCTCCAAGGCCTGGCTCACGTGCTACCTCTAAGGTGAAACCTTCAACTTGGAATCATCATACGTCCTCTGAGCTCTCACGGCACCCTGCCTTTACTGCAAACTTTATCACTTTGTTTGACATTGTAATTATTAGTGTATATGTCTGCTTTTCTCTTCTAGTTATAAGCTTCTTCGGTTGGGGAGAAGGACAACACGCAGACATGTACTGACTGAATACCACTCTGTCACCAGTGCTACCTGTCACAATACTTTGCACACAAAAGGCACTCGATAATAAATCAATAATGAATTGCACAACCACACTCTTCATAAAGTTCCCTAAATCGCACATTAAAAGCTTTGAAACAAGGACAGAGAAGTTGTTTTTCCTAACATTTGGTGGCACTTGCCTATTAAACAGGCCCTTTAGCCTGAGATCCAGGGAATTGTGAGAAGCAGGTTTTCAACCATCTCTCCCAGGCCCATGAAATAGAATGCTATTATATTTACAGGGGTCTGTGGAGGCCCTCCCCCCCACAATGGCAGCACAATCACAAATCAGAAACCCCTCTCATAAATGAGTCGGACAGGATAAGCCAACTTGAAAGAGAAAATAAAATATTATAACCCCAACTTGAAAAGAAAATATGGTGTGTGGTTTATTGCTGTGGATTATGGAGGAAGAGAGAGCCGATGGTAAGTCAGAAGCAGAAAGCAGAGGCGGTCTTTAAATTTAATTCAGTGCTCACATGGCAGACAGTGGACTTAGAGAGCCGAAGCTTCAGGCCCCTGCTCTGGTCTATAAACTAGACGTAAAATTGCTTTTGCCGCATTATTAGTGCTCCGTTATTAGTGCGCCGCTCTGGAGGCAAGGGCTGTTTAGGGAAAAGAAATAACTGTGGTACTTTCAAGTCACAGTCTGTTCGTCAGAATCTCATGTTGCATTTTAAAGACATTTAAAGGCTGTGGCTTTGGGAATTCTACACTGAGGGAAGAAGGATTTGGAACGATCTACAACACAGGAAACAACTCGAGCCGTCCTATGATAAGTTCTCAATGACCAGCAATGGGAAGATGGTCTTGAACAAGGAGATTCTCTTATTTCCAGAATGAACCTTCCAGTGAGAGTGCCTGCCCCCCTTTCCTGGGCTCCCCAGCCCTCACCCCTAAGTCTCTATTACTCAAGTTGTTCAGATGCAAAGGTATCAAAGTGTATCCCATGACCGAGGCTGAGAGCGGAAACACCGAGTGCATATGGAATTTGTTGGTCAGGCTTGTTCTCATCCAGAGGCTTGAGGATAACATACATCACCACCGCAGAGACTGAGGGAATGAGTCGAGGGTGCGCCGGAGAGGGACTTGGGCACTGAGGGGAGGTCAAACCAGATGGCTTCTGAGGACACGCAGCTGTTTGTGCTGGGTTTGCTCTGCCTTGTGAAGCTGCGTCTGTTTCTTCCAATTTGCTCATGAGTCTGGGAGATGGGCTGAGATGTGCTGAGATGTGCTGTATCCTGCCCCATCCTGTCACACGTTTGTAGGTCTGCCTTTGGGTACAACCTTGACAGAAGTCTAGCTACGTGTTGCTAGGTCTTTTATGAGACCATTTAAGGTAATTGAATGAACAGTCCTTTGTGGCGGGGAAGGCACAACTTAGGTGAAATGGACAATTTGTGGTCAATTATTTGGGTCTTTCAGGTGGAGACAGGTTGTCTGGTGGTCTGATTCCACCTGATTGGATTGGCTGAGTCCACTTGTTCGTTAGCGCTCCTTTGCTCATTCATTTACTCATTCATTCAACAAGCACTTTTCATGTACCAGAGACCCAGCTTTCCATTTCCATGCCTCTGTTTGTCTAGACAAGTGATTGATCACCAATTTGGGGCAAGAAAGGTGAGCAGAAAAAGAGTTTACAAAGTCATACTGGGAAAACCTTGGTTTTCAGGGAGAAGTGGGTCAGGTGGGTCAGACATCTGTGTGCCAGGTCCAAGTCCTATATCAACTGCAATTTAAATCCCCAGCTAAAAGGAAACTAAATAAAAACAACAGCTGCTCCTAACAGAGTGATTTGTGTTAATTTTCTAGGAGCAACCAAAAAGGAAGTCCATTCGTATAAATACAGTTCATGCTTTTTTTGTTTGATTCCAGATCACCAGATTAAAAATTGACCGAAACCCTTTTGCTAAAGGATTCAGAGATTCTGGAAGAAACAGGTAAGAGCAACTGGGAAAGAGACTCACTGACATTTCTTTTCTGTGATGTTATTTCCCCCGCGTCCCATTGGGGGAGAACACCTGCCCGTTATGCCGCTGTGCTGATTCGGGCAAAGAGAAATGGGGGGATGATCCCAGAGTCAAAAAGGTGCCCCATTAAGGCGGAATTAGCCAAGTTCTTTGCTCACGCACTCTGTATCACCAGATGAAATCCCTCATGATGTTTCCCCTTCTGCATCATATGGGGTAATTCAGCCACTTAAAACAAATTTTATGGCGATTGGTTATCATCAAAATGTTGCTACTTTTTTCTGATAAGCATCTGTATGTAGCTACCACACCTATGGCCATATCTCCATTTATGTTTCATTCTCAGGAAACAAGGAATTGTGGACCAATAAACATTTTCACAAAATTATTACCTTTAAGAACTAAAACTTTGTTTAAAAAGTTAATCTTTTTTTTTCTGGGGAGTATTTCCAAAATATATTAGACGTTTCCTGCTTTAATAAAGAGAGTTGATAGAACACCACCCTTCTTGATGACCTGACATCATCATTTTGATTAGCTTGTTATATAGTGAAACTCTTAGAAATTGCTTAAGTTTATGGACTATTTGCTTCTGTTGTAAATGGCCTTAGAGACTGTGGTGTTTTCTAGTTAATTCTTCTTTCTTCTCTCTAGATCCTTCCTCTCTCAAATTAAAATATGCTATCCATGGAGAGTTAGAAGAGAAGTGAAATTGCCAGGAAAATCAGATCTAGCTCAGGTTATTCCATCAGAAAATCTCATTTTATAGAAATCATACCAAAACAGCAAATGTGGCATGTGTGTTTTATAAAGTATGTAAGCTTTGTCATAACTACTTACTTAAGTGTTCAGACATCTTACTAATCTGGGGCCGTTTCTTTACATCTGAATGACGCAGATTGTCAGGAGCTCTCTTTGCTGTTTTCTCTGCAAGAGTTTTCAGGTAAACTGTCCAGTGTTATATTTAGGATCACGCTGTGAGCTAGGTAGCCCATTATATGAGTATTAGAACCTAGATTTATGCTAAAATTCAGTCATAGTGGTCATTTCCTTTATAAAATGACTCACGAAAGCACTTCTTTATGAAACTCTTATTGTATATTTGAAACACATTTGGAGTTCCATAAAATTTTATTGATCTCAGAACATTTTAAGGTTACATCTATTGAGTGAAGTAAAATCCACTTAAACTTCTAGTTTGCAGATGACAAAATCGAGTAATATGTTCTAGGTCAAGCCACCTCGTTAGTGGTACAGGTGCAGTAGAACTCAGACATATGGACTCCAGGTCAAATGCTTTCCTGTTCAACGATTCTTTGTTCAATGTAAGACAAAGGCCTTTGCTTTCAAAATGTAGTCGGGGAAGAACGAATGCCTATGCTTTCGCTTGGTATGCCCAGTCCTCTTTCTCCCAATTAGTTTCTACTCCACATCCAGATTGTAGAAGGAGCCTGTGAGCTGCTTCCTGCCGCCTCCTCTTCAGAGCTGGCACTCTGGGCTTACTGAGGACCTTGTGAGTGATTGGAGCTCAAAATAGAAGCTGGCCTTTCATGTAGAAACCTCTAAGGTATTTAAGATCTTTAGCTTGGAGTCCATGGATGGGTGAGTTCTCAGGTAGTGTAGGTAAAATTGCGTGTGGGTGAGCAGGCGTGCATTTCTCCAGGGAGAGGTCTATAGCTTTCTTTAGATTCTCCAGAAGGTCTATGCCCAGAAGTTAAGAATTTCTGCTCTAGACACAATTATATTGTCTCCAGGGGTCAACCCTACTGACTTTAGTTATTCAACTACTTCCTTTTTCTTTCCTTCTGTCTCTCCGGTGGCATTTAGTGTTTATTTCCTTCTTGGCACTTCGAAGCTGCTTTTTTCCCCCTTTTTCCCTTTGTTTTTCTCTCCAATCAGAGCCTTGTTTTTCAGAGCCATGGCCAAGAACAGGGATTTGGAATAGATAGGCTGTGTTGACCAGCCTTAGAGCCATGCTGTGGGAATTGGAGCCACATTTTAATCTGGAGAGTGAGACCGTGTATCTAGAAGCATTTGCCTCTCGTTAGGAAGTTGCAATGACATCTCAGTTCAAGTCCTGAGGTCCCCCTATCTCCTCACTTTGGCTAGAAGGGACTTTGACATATCATTTGGTCCTGGCCTGTGTCTGCCTTAAGGCTGGTGAGTGTCTTACTGCTCAGGACACACAGTTATTTGTCTGTCCTGCCTGGTGAATTGCTCTTCTTTGTAAGGACTCATTATGTCCTAGTAAAACCTGCAGACTATTTTGAGTGATATTAGAAATTATAGACGTTATCTGTGGCTGAAAACTTACTGTGTTCCAGACCTCATGTTCTTTCTAATCTCGAAAACAACTTATATTTTACAAATGGGGAAACTGAGGCTCAGAGAGCTTCAGCAGCTTTCCTAGTGTCACACAGTAAAGCTGGAGCAGAGATTAAAACCCAGGCCCACCTGACTTCAAAGCCTGTGCACTTTGTGCTCTATCATCCCAACAGTTTAAATTTGACTTATTTCATCTTCAATAGACATGGAGAATAGATCTCTTCCTCTAAAAATCCTTCATCTACTTACAGATATTACTCAAGTACCCAGAACCTTCTATTTTCCATATAAAACAACCTGTATGTTCTTTGCCTGTCTTTGTATGTTCTCCCCATGACTTGTCATCCACTCTCGATACCCCTGTGAACAAGGGGTTCCCTAGTAAAGGACAGGAAGTCAGGCTGAACTTCCCTAGCAGGTGAAACTGTGACACAGTGACACTGAAGCCACCTGTCTCACGATGGGGCGAGGATGAACTTTTAAAGGTACAAGCCGTTTTTGTCCTCTGGTGCTCTGGGAAGCTAGATTAAAATAAATGTGTTGGGGCAAGTACAGTGGCCCTTTTATTTTTTCTTTAAGACGCTCAAAATTACCTGATAATCACAGTTTAATCCTCCCTAGCTGCCTGCAGGACCTGATGAGGGCAAGAATTATGAATGCCATTTTGCAGATTGTAAAGATTGATGGATGAGGATACAGAGGATTATCTAGAAATCTTCTGGGAACTGGAGGTTCTGTGTCAACCTCAGAGCCCGGCTCATCGCCTCCTCTACTGCCTTTCTCGTGCTAACAGAGCTCTTATAAATCTATGATCTTCACCGTGTATTTCAGACATCAAACGACTCATAGATGAGCATGGTTTGCCGAGCTGCATATAAATGGACCCCAAACATACGGATTACATTTCCTTTAAAAACACATGGGCTTAAAAATTAGGGGGGAAGTGCCCGGCCAATGTTTTTTGGTTTTGCAGAACACAAAACATTTGTGGAATACTTTGGAGCTACAGAATTTGCCAAACCTCAAACCAAAATACGTTCAGGTTTGTCGCTCTCAATCCATCCTAGTGTGGTCCGGACGCTCAGGAAGGGAGGAGCAGGAGGAAAGACGGGGACACAGCCGCCCAGCACACTCCCTTTAAATGGCTTGTGTGACTCTCTCTTGGCCCGTAAGCCTCGCCTCATAGTGCAGTTAGGGCGGCCGGGCCGACAGTGGTGTCCTCTGAGGGCACAGGAGAACTTGAGGGAGCTGTGGTGAGGATGCTTTACTCCCCACTCTTCCTATTTTAATGAGAAGAGATATCCATGGGAAGTACTCCTGGCTCCTAGCCCATCGCTTCCTCCTTCCCCTTAATGGGAACCAGAGTGACTGATCTGATTGCTGAGTCTGGGACAAGGACCCTTCAGGAGCCGCTTGTCTGCAGGGAGCGTGCCCTCTGGGCTCTTTCCGCGGGGTGGCAAGCCCAGCAGAGGAGGCCCGCTGTCCTGGGGAGTCAGCTGATTTCAGGGGCGCTCTAGCCCACTCACTCAGCCCTCACCCCTCTACCACAGTCCCCTGACACATTTATCAATAGCGAAACTGATATTTTGGTCTCTACTGCATCAGGCTCTGAGGTCTTTCTCAGAATTCATTCTCAGTTTAAATGAGGCCAAAAGGTGATATTCATGGGGCTTTCCAGAACCCCAGCAAGCACTCCAGTGAGCCCACAGTGTAAGCCCTGTGGAGTCACCATCATCGGAGCCTGTCATAGTTCTGCCCACTCTTCAGAAAGTGACATTCGCACACTTGACTGTGAGAAGGTCACCGCCCTTCACACTTTCCTTATGGAGCTGCTACTTTTCATTCCCATGTGATGAGGTCCCTGATTACAAGTCCCCACAAAAAGAGAGAGAGAGAGAGAGAGAGAGAGGGAGAGAGAGAGTTAGTTCATGCTGTGGAGAAGAGCGGTACCCAGCTGGCCGTTTTGGAGTGGAAACCCTGAAAGATTTTGCTACCAAACATTGAACCTGCAATGGGAGGGAAACTGTGTTTACTTCTAAATTGTTCCTCCTTCTGGATGTCTCAGAAATTATGTGGCCCAAATCTAGCTTTGGGTGTGAAGGGTCATTTTATGTTTGATCAGACCTCGCCCCAGGGCACGGTATCCTAGTTACCTCTGGGAGATGTCTCCTACCAGCAGGAGACATCCCATCTTCCTGTTCCTGGGGGAAATAGATTCCCTCAGCTTGAGACGACTTTCTGTCCTGTGGTCTGTGTTCCTGGGCTCCGCCCCTGCGAGAATGTAAGCTCCTTGGAGTGGAACTGCACTGTTTTCAGGTTTTTAGTCTTAGATTTTTTCCCCCTGTAGTGACAGCTATCTAGAGGAAAATAATACTTGTTCATTTAGTTACAAAACAGTAAACAGAATTGATGAGTAACAGAGAAATGAAAAGCTAGAAACTCTGGAATGAGAAAGCCTTACCCCAACCAAGGGCAGCTCAGGTATGGCAATAGTGGGGAGCTAGTTTTGGACACCAGCTAAGAAGGGAATAAAGACTGAATCTATAAATAGGCTTAGTTCCAAAGACTCAGGGCAATTTTGATTCCAGTCTGCGGTGGACTGCTGCTGGAAGACACTGATTTACCCTAACTGTGGATTAGGCACA